TTCTATCCCCTCATTGATCCTCCCATCTGGAACGCTCCCTTCTGTCCCAACACCCCTCCCTCTCGCCCAAAAACCAACTCCTCCCTCCCGCCCCCCCCCCCAAAAATAATCAGGGCTTTGTTCGCTCCACCACCAAGTACTGGGTGAGGGCGGAGGACGTGTCAAACGTGAAGTACCACATCCTGCAGCACCTGCCCGTCTTCCAGCACGACAAGGACAAGTTTGGAGGTGCGGAGCCCCGACAGATAGGTTTTAGCGGAGGGCGGGTGCCTGGCGGCTGCGCGCCTCGCTGAGTGCGCATGCTGCGTGTCCGGTGGCGGCTGCGGCCGGGGGGCCGCTCCAGGGCCTGCCACGCCGCAACAGGCGGCCGAGTGCGCGATCGGCCGCCTCGTCCGGCCACACAACCCTTGCACTCCCACCCCCGACCAACCCCACCCTACCCCCGACCTCTGCCCCCCTCATTCGTTTCGTGCCCTTGCATCACGCCCCGCCAGGCTCTGACGCGCAGCTGATCAACAGCGTTTACTTCGACAACGAGAACCTGGAGCTCTACCACGGCCGCCTCGACAAGAAGCCAGGGGCCATCGCCGTACGCATCAGGTGCGCGCTCTCCCGCGCGCAAGCAGCAGCCGCCGGCGTGTCGATGCAAGCGCACGACCGGTCTCGCTAACAGCAGGGGTGGGCGAAGCGGCGTTTTTGCGAGGCCCCGGCGGCGGCTCCGCGGGGTATTGCGCGGCGGCGGGGGCCGCCGGGGCCCTGGGCCTCTGTTGCTACCCCCCCTTCACCCCGGGGGCTTGCACTTCTCACCCCAGAGGCCGCGCCTGTCGTCCCTTCCTAAAAACCCATCCCTCTTGCCAGCTTTTTCCCCTCCGCTCACTTCCTCCGTGATTGAGAGCAAACTTTGGACCGCGACCAGGGATTTGCTGCTTTATTGAGAAACCGCCACCCTGAACGTGCTTATCACCATGTGTCCTCCAAACGGTGCCCTCGCAGGTGGTACGGCAGCGGGGAGCCGCGCAAGGTGTTTGTTGAGCGCAAGACCCACCGCGAGAGCTGGAAGGGGGAGGAGTCGGTCAAGGAGCGCTTCACGCTCGACGCGTCACAGGTGAGGGGGCACGCTCCGCACGCGCGCGCGCGCACACACACACACAAGCACACGCATTTGTGCACACACACCACACGCCCTCACGTGTACACACCCAACCAAACCACACTGAACAAAATGAACACACACATGCACAAAATACACACATGCACAAAACACACACACACACACACACACACACACACACACAACGCACACGCACCAACATTGCACTTTCCCAACCTGTGACATCATCATGACATCATCGCCCAGGTGGTGCCGTTCCTTGAGATGGAGTACGACTGGCCCAAGGCCGAGGCGGACCTGCGGGCGGCCGGCAAGAGCGACGACGAGATCTCAAAGTTCCAGGTCCTCTTCAACGAGGTGGGTGTGGCTGGGTCACCGGGTTACCCGCGGGTTACCCTTGTGGCCTGGTGGCCCGGGTGGCCGCGCGGTGGCTTGCTGTGCGGCTCGATTGTGGGGGCCACGGGCGGCTGGGAAATTTGGCCGAGGAGGGGTTGCTGAGTAATGAAGAGCCCCTCGGCAGCGTGAGCGGCATGAACATGTTCTGCACCCTCCACGGCCCCCCCCGCCGGCCGCAAACCCCCTCTCACCTCCCCGGCCCCTGCATCCCCACTGCTCCCCGGTTGCCGTCCCTGCGCAGTGCCGCAACCAGATCGACTCCAAGCAGCTGCGCCCCTTCATCCGCACGCAGTACATGCGCACCGCCTTCCAGGTGCGGATCCCCCCTCAGGCCCCCAGCCCCTTGCGTGCACGCGGGCCCCGCCCGTTTCCCTTTCACCCTCGCCCCCCCCCCCTGCTGTGCGGCCGCGCTGGTCTCCCCTGCTGCCGCCCGCACTCCTTCCCGCCCAACCGTCGCCCCCTCGCATCTGGATTCCCAAGCCGCTCGCCCGCTCCATCGCCTCCGCCATGCCCGAGGGCTGTGACTGCTTTGGTTTGCCGCAAACTGCAATCCATGACGACCTACTGCTGCAGCCAAGCCCTACACAGTCCCTCCCTCCCCCCCCCAAAAAAAAACACTCTCCCCTCTCAACCCACGCCTCCCACCTATCTGCTCACGTCGCCGAACGCCATGTATTCCAAACCCCCCCAGATCCCCTTTGACTCGACAGTGCGCGTGTCAATGGACACTAACATGTGCATGATCAAGGAGAACCCCGAGGATGGCCCCTCCTGCACGTGGGTGTGAACTTTGGTGGGAAGTTTGGTCAGAACTGGGTGGCGAGAAAAACCTCCAAAACATTTGAACGGATGTTGTAAAACACAGGCGTAGCTGGCTGGGTGCTTGCGCTGCGAGGAGTGCACTTTTTGAGGATTCTAAGGCCAGCAGGACGCCCGCAACCGACCGTGACCGCGTGCTGCCGTGCGCCCTCCCCCCCCCAACACACACACACACACACAC